TGTACACAACACACAAAGGCAACAACAAGGCAACAGTCAAAGAATAAAAGGGGGTAAAGTAGGTGGGGAGTCCGGGGCACCCTAAGGCAGGGTGCTGAACCCTGACATCCCTCCTTTCCATTTCTGGGTTATCACCTACCATTCCGCTAACCCCGTAACCGGTTTGTCAGTAATATTCAATTGGCTAATGTTTAACTCCATTAGCTCCGCTCTGCTCGGCTCCACCATTTGCAGGCCCACCCTCATTGTAACTATATATACTCAACTTGTACATAGGTTACACCTCAGTAATAAAATCGACTAGAGTTTACCCCCCTTCAGTTCTGGTTGCCTGTTATAGGAATGGACCAGAATCTTATGGTCCATGGTTACAAGCAAGTAGAACCAGGTATGCCTCCTTATTGTTTTCCCCTATTTCTCTACCCAAACCCCATGCCAAGCTTTCCCACTGGGTTTTGGTGCTGGCTGGGGAATTGCTGAATTTCAAGGGACTTCCCTTGACCATTACAACTTTTATATTAGATATAAACTAGTCATATGACATGTAAAGGCAAATGCCGAAAGAGGTTTTCCTTATCGAATACATAACCCACAAAACCTTGTACCACAATTGTAACTGCCTCACCATTGTGCCACCACTGTAAGCCTTCTCTGTAACATCTGACTTGGTCCATATCGATGTCTACATCGATATTCTTACAATCTGTGAGAAAACCTCAATGGCCCGGTGAGTGCTCAGACACCGGACCTCGCCCTTCCTGCTCCCACCCCCCCACTGGGTGGTTGAGCTCCCATTCCTACCCTTCCTGTAGTACCCTACTGGGTCCTACAACCCTTCCTCCCTTCTTGGGAGGGAGAAGTGACTCAGGCAGCCCCAGGATGCCTGGCCGCATACCCGCGGGCTCAAATTCCCACGGTCACTCACTACCGTGCACTGGTCAACCAACTTGCCTGTCCCAACATATCCCACTACCGGTACGCTCCCCTGAGCGCCAAGTAACCGATAGTCGACCACTGGGCTACTCCCTCAAGGAGTGCCAACTACCCATGCTACCGGTACACTCACATGAGCGCCAAGTCACTGCTAGCTGACTGATAGGTGGCTCCCTCAAGGAGCCCCCACTATACCCGCTGCTGGTATGCTCCTTGGAGTGCCAAGCCACCGTTAGCAGACCACCACACCCGCTGCCGGTATGCTCCTCAGAGTGCCAAGTTACCATTAGCCCACCTGGCCTCGGATCTCCTGCTCTCCCTTCAACAGCCATGCAGCCACCTCTGTCTGTGAGCAGAATGGTTCAGGTTGGATTCCCCGGAACCCATTCCTGTAACATTGGTGCCCCAACCCCGGTCACACCACCATCAAATGCAGTTGTGCAACCTCAAGCTCACACACAGGAGGAATGCCCATCTAAATCGGGTGCCATCAACTCAGACTATCAACATTCCACCATCCAACTAAAGCATGCACTGGACAAGTTTTCATCACCATGGAGATTCTATTATGAGTGCACGCCTATGGACATGTTACAAGAATGGCAACGGCTGGGCCCAGACAACATAGGGGTTCAGTCATTCCACAAACTGGCTATGGGCTCCTCCACCTCTTACTGTATCATTGACGAGTGCGGTCAACAGCTGATACTGATCCTTCAAGCAATGGACCGGTTCACCCGAATGTCAGGGTTCAGCACCCTGCCCTAGGGTGCCCCAGACTCCCCAACCAATCCCTTCCTTCCATTCCTTCATTGTTGCCTTGTTGTTGCCTTTCTGTGTTGTGTATCCGCGCGCACAGGATAGCATGGGAACTTTCTGAGCGAGCAGCTCGCCCAGAATGTTCCCACGGGTCACAGCCACAGTTCTGGGCGAGCAACTCGCCCAGAACATTCCCACGCTTACTGGGCACTGCCACCTGGATGTTCCCTCCGGGTCACACTACACAACTCTAGGAGCTGTATAGTTGTGGACATGTGACCCATTCCTTTATATAGCAACCATGCAGGGAGATGAGACCTTTACCCTTCTTCTCATCTCATGCCCCGCATAGGCAAGTGTATATATTATCTTTCCTTTTACTATACATCTCATGCCCCGCATAGTGTGAGGACAGGTCAGATGGGGGTTGAGGTCAGGGAGCCTCCAAGTCCGAGGCCGGGCCCTGACACCGAACCATCTCCAATTCCAATCTCATCCCTGCCACGTTCAAGGCAGACCCAGGACAGATCATCCTCTCGACGTTGATCACATTGGGCTGGACCGAGTTAAGCACTTTACATCGAACTTGGAACTATTTACAGTGAAAACTAGCTGATTTTGTTCTACATTTCGAACGTGTTAAGGAGGTCCTTGTCCTCACACAGTCCTGAGCAGCGAGCTCCCATATTGTCACAACCAACCCCTCATTGATACCAGTACGACCTTGTACACCTGAGGTCGTTGCGATATTGCCCACTGCGGTGAAATTGGAGTTGCCCTCACTGCACCTGTCCTCAGCGCCAGATGGCGCAGTTGCAGTCGGTGCATCGAGCACGACACGCTACAACAGCTTGATGCTCCAGTCTCATCAAACGACTGCTCCTGCACAACACCCACTTGAGCCGGCACACCTAATGGTGCAACTTTGTCCAATCATGGCAGGTTCGTTATGCGCAGGGCACCTCACCAGCCCAACCTGTCACAAGACCGAATCAATGTCACTGGCTACTCAGTTGGTTCAACCAGCCACGGACCATTCAACAAGCACAACGGGTTCCATTAACCCAACGTGTCGCGAGGTCGAACTGTCATCCTTGCCCACTCAGTTGAATCTCTCGACTGATCACTCACAATGTCCACATGAGCTGTCGTGCTCACCTGAGTCGCTCCATACAGACACGTCCCATCCATCGATTGCCGCGCACCCTGACAATTCGACACAGCACATAGTGGAATCAATGCTCCCAACTATACAGATGAACTGACCGACTGCTCTTTTGCAGCGCCTGTTCAAAGTGTATAGCTCAGTCCAGGCTGGTTCACCAAAACAACCAGCAGGCTTGCCAAATGTGGCACACCCTTCCTGTTCAACGCCTTGGACAGTCGAAACAACGTACCCAGCTGTCCAGCTGGAGCGTCTGGTTGCCCCTTTGTGGCACTCATCAGAGCTAGGCTCCATCTCTGGTCCTTTAAAATACTTGCCCGAGCCATTACGCTTACATGAACTGCTTCATTCAGATGCATCCTGTCCGTCTGGTGCAACACACCTTGGCGGCACGGCATGACACATAGCAGAATCGACGCTCCCGAATAACCAGATGGACCCATCATCTACTCATTCGCAGCACTCACTAGAGCCAGTGCACCTAGGCAAACCGGCGTCTAAGTGTCTTATCCAGCTGGATCAACTGGTTCCCCTTTTGAAGGGCTCACCCAAGCCAGCACACCCGTTCGCACCACATTGCCCAGTACAAGCTGGTCCACTGAGTGCAACTCACACCACTGGATCAACATACTGCACGGTGGAGTCATCGTCTTCGCCTGTTCAATCGGGTCAACCAGCAGATTCATCAAACCTGATGCACCCTTCCAGCACAATGCCCCAGTGCTCATCGGAGTTGGCATGTCCAATTGAGTCAAATCGCTCAGATGTCATTTGCTCATTGACTGAGACGCGCTCAGTCAGTCTGGCGCCTTCCGTGGCCCAGCTAATAACACCGTCTGGCCAGCGGAGCTCCATTTCAGGTCCTTCACAGTGTCTGTCCGAGCCGACACATTCAGGTGAACCGCATCGTGGGGTTGCAGCCTGGGCATCGAGTGCAATCCACATCCCCGGCTCGACACATTGTGTGCTCAAATCGACGCTTAAGCACCCAATTGCCCAGTTGCACCCAGTTACACCCTTGTGGCATCCATGCAGGTTGACACGTTCGAATAAGCTATCCAGCTCACCTTCCACAACCGCGACGCACGCTGCCAGGTTGATGTGTCGTGTGGACCGCGCAGCCAAGTCATCGTTCAGGTCCCCGGCTGCTCAGTCAATTCAACTGGCTGTTTCTTGGCCGCACTCACTTGAGCCAGCACGTCTTTCTGAGCAACTTTGTTCGGCTACTGGTTGTCTATCCATTGCAACACACTCCCTCAGTGCTACATGTCGCAAGGTCGAATCCTCGGCCTTACCATGTCAATCGGGTTACATAGCTGCCCCTTCGCGGAGCTCACGGGACCCAGCGTGCCTGTCTGAACAATCTCATTCAAGCGTGACTTGTCTGTCAAGTATAACAAACTCCATCGGTTTGACAAGTTGTAAGGCTGAACCGGCACCTTTTCCTGTTCATTCGGATAGTGTAGCTGTTTGCTCATGTCACCCGGGATCGAACAAACCAGGTAGACCAGTCTCCACCAGTTTGTCACTGGCTACAACGTGCACCGTCAGGTCGATGCGCTACCCAGCCAACCAGACGTTGCCACCTGCCCAAACGAAATCTCTGATCGCATCTCTACATCATCCTCACAACTCAGAGCGCTTGTCTGCGCTACATCCGTCAGAGGTGGTCTGTCCATCGAGCACCACACTCGCGATTAGCACAAAGAGCCACATAGACAATCCCATACTCCTGAATGGCCAGTCGGATCCATCAGTTGGGCCCTCACATTATCTTCTCGAACGATTGCACTCACATGTGCCTGATTACCCGCCAGATCAATCAGCTGCCCTTATGCAGTGCTCACTTGGGCTGGTGAAACCAACTAAGCAGTGTTGTTCGGTCACGGTCTTTTCATTGAGTGCGGTGCACCCCTCCTGTTCGATATTCTGCTTAGTCGGATTGAAGTTTCTGACTGCACAACCGGACTGCTGGGTTGCATCTTCACGGCACCCACTCAAGATGGCATGCTCAAACGAGCCAGATCGCCTGGCTGTCATCTCACCCACCAAGAAGCTTTCTGTTGGTCTCTCGTGGTGACCGCCAGAGTCGATATGTTCAAATGGGTCACCGCCCCACTCAGATACGGCCTCTCCATCAGTCATGACACACTTCGTTAGCCCAGCACGTCGTGCTGTCAGTTTGACGTTATTGCAGGCCCAGTCGGTTCCCTGGGTTGCTAATTTGCGCCATACTCCTGAGTTGCCAGAATCCTCAGTTGATGGCCCATCCAGTGCGAGGCACCTTATTAGCTTGACACTCACGTCTGTTGTTCTATTGGTTTTCCCAGCAGTTTATCCATGTCGTCCTCACAAGCTGGGGCACTGGTATGATCGGTACAACCCCGCTAGTGCTAGATCGCCATCTGTGATGAACCCTATTGTTATGACATGGCAAGCGACTGCATGTTCAGTCAGCATTGGTGTTCAGGCTCACGACAAAGCTCTCAACTGCGAAGTCAGAGTGTCCAACCCCTGGCCGGAAGGAACTCAGATCCCGGCACAAATGCGGCCAGACTACCTAGCCAATGCCAAGGACAGCCATTTCCCAATTACCTTGTCCTTTGATGGATGGGGCCCTGAATTGCTGTCTTCGCCTGCCCAGTTGGGTCTCCTGGCAAATCCTTCGCATCGCCCATGTGGGCTAGAATGCTCCTGTGAACTGTGCTGCTCAGTCGCAGCTGGCCTGTCGATTACAACGGTTTCCAATGGTTTGGTGGGAAAAACGATTGAGCCAGTGTCATCGCCTGGTGAGTCGGCCACCCTTCCGCATCCCATGCCCGAGTCAGCAGGCTTGCGTGTGTTGTACCGCCTGGTGGCTGCATACACACCAATCAAGATGTGCTTTACCGATTCAACGCACTGTGCGGTCGAATCGGTAATATCGCATGACCAGTCGGATTCTCCAGCTGAACCTGCGTGTCGACTTCCCAAGCTGGCACGCTCAAACGGACCAAATCGTTCGACCACAACTCATTTGCTGGTCCCGATACACTTCCGCGGCTCCACATGTCAATCCTTTCAGGTTGAAGAGCAACCCATCATCCTCACAGGTACTCAGGCTCTCAACATAGCCTTTGAATGCGACATCTACCTGTCTAGACTTCAGCTGGGGAGGACTCAGATTTTGCACAGGAATGGGGTTTCTCATTTGGCCACATTGAGTGATCTCGAAAGGACAACACTGATGTGATTAAGCTACAATCTTGGTATTAGGAGCGACCGACTCCCAATTACCTCACCCATCGACCGTTGGATTGCATGCTGGCATGTGCTACATCACTCAGCAGCAGCACACTCACTGATCGTAACGCATTCCATCGGTTCAATGTGTCAAAAGATCATACCACCTGTCAGAATGGGCGCACATCGCATCCATCTCGACCATCTGTTCAGGTTAAAAGGGAGCCTATCGTCCTCACAGTTGTTCCGGCTCTCGAGGAGGATCTCAACTGCAGAGTCCCCGGGGCTAATCCCCAGCTGGGCGGAACTCAGCCGATGACATCAATGTGGCTAGGTTACATCCCTGATGTCATATCCATTCCCGGCCATCGACTTCCGGACTCTCCGACCCCTCCGTTCTAACTCCGCTCCCCCCTCACCAACCTTGGAGCCCCCGTATTCCGCAAACCTCCCGGTGCCCCTCGATGACCACCACCCCTTCATTTCAATTTATTACCTATGCCTCCCTAAGTACGGAGCCCCGAAGACTTCCGGACAGCTCCGACGTCCGCTAGCGCACTCCTGCCTCCGCTGGGCAATACACTCGCCTGCCCTGCAGAGTCCACCTTCGGGCTTATCCCTCCTTTCCGTTTCTGGGTTAACGCCTGCCTTTCCGCTAACCCCGCGAACCGACTCGTCGGTAATATTCAGTCAGCTAATGTCTTAACCCCGTTAGCTCCGCTCCGTCCGGCTCCGCCAATTGCGGAACCGTCTCCGCTGTAACCATATATATACACTACTTGTACATAGGTTACGCCCCAGCAGATAAATCAACTAGAGTTACCCCCACTAGGTTCTAAGTGCCAGTCAGTAAGTTAGGGCACGGACGTGTCACTAGGCACAGCGCTCCTGGCAGAAGTCGCTGAGGCCAAAGCCCTCCGTTACGGAGACATTCCTTCATCTTAAAATCTGGTCTCTGACAGTATTTATCTGCTCCCTGACTAGTACACGTCTTGTATGGCACCAAAAGTCCTTCGCACTCGTTCGCAACTACGCACATTAGTCCCCAACTCCGCTTCACCTTCCCCAGAACCCTCTCAGCCTGGTCCTAGTCGATTGGCGAGAAACCCAGTTGAGTTTCGAAGCTTTTCTAACCTTGAAACCCCTCTCCCATCGACTCCGATCATGCGCCCCGCTAGGAATCGATCACCAGTCGCAGACTCCAACTTCGGAGACACCACGGAACAACCCATAGATCCCGCCCACTTCTTTGGACTCGGTTCCGAGGTCCCCGACTTCGTCGACCCTCCTCCTGCTGATCCTCCCATCCCCACTGTTCCAACCACCGACGATGCCGAACCCACCTCCAACGTGGCCATTACACAATTGGCCCAAGCCATTGCCAGTCTGGCTCGTCACACCGGACGACGACCACCACCACCATCTTCCGCTCTCCGGACCAAGGTCCGCGAACCCGAACAGTTCGACGGGAAGGATCCCCGAGAACTCCGAGTATTCTTGGTCCAATGCGAGCTCAACTTCCAGGACCGTCCCCTCGCTTTCGCTAGTGACCGCGCTAAAGTCATATTTGCGCAGTCCTACCTCAAGGGAATGGCCCTCGATTGGTTTGAGCCGGACCTGTTATTCGACCAGAACTCCACGCTTCGTCCGCGATGGATGAACGACTATCAAGAGTTCGTTAACGAACTTCAAACTAACTTCGGCCCTCACGATCCTGTGGGCGACGCCGAGGTTCAACTAATGACGTTAGACATGAAGGACGGACACCACATCAACAAATACGTCGTCGAATTCAATCGACACGCCTCTCAACTCCACGGTTATGGAGAAGCCGCGCTTCGTCGTTTCTTCTACAACGGATTGCCGGAACGTATCAAGGATGATATTGCCAGAGTAGGTAAACCCTCTACTCTCTCTGAGCTTCGCACCCTGTCCCAAACTCTCGATGCGCGCTATTGGGAGCGTAAATCGGAAGTTACACGTCACGCGAAACCCTCTTCCTCTAACGTCTTCGACAAGTCCACCGCCGCTTCTCGTTCCGACCCCATCCCTTCTTCCTCCTCTTTCAACTCCGCTTCCGGTAGTAGGCCTCCGAAGGACAACAAGAAGTCCGAGGCCAGCTCCGTTAAACCGGACCTCTCTTCTAAACTCGGAGACAACGGCAAGCTCACGCCACAAGAGCGTAAGCGCCGTCTCGACGAGAAACTTTGTATGTTCTGCGGTCAGTCTGGCCATATGGTCAAGGATTGTCCCAAGTCTTCTTCTCGCGCATCTAAGGCCCGTTCGGCCCAGACCGAGGAGCAAGGATCCGCTTCCGCAGAAGCAAAAAATTAGTCCGCACCCCCGTGGACTCCGCACGGACCGGGGGTTGCGATCCTTCCTTCCGTGCGCTCAAAGAAGTGCGTTTAAACGCGTCTTCCATTTCCGACCTATCCTCCCTCCACATTCCCGTTTCCTTTTCTCTCTCAAATGGTCTATTTTCTCCTTTCAATGTTGACCCTTCGGGCAATGTTCTACCCGTTGTAGATAGTGTTGCTGATGTATCACTCTCTCCTCCACCCCCTCCGACTACTTCCGTAGATCGATCCACCTCTCTCCGCTTCGCTTCTTCTTTTTCTCCTCCTGTTTCTCCTCCGTCCAATAGTAGGACACAAAATAAACTTTTCCGCTCCTATGAGAACGTACCCGCGCTCATAGATTCTGGGTCTTCGGACTGCTTCATCGACGACACCTTCGTAAAAAAGCTGGCCTTGAAGACATACCAGATCAAACCCCTACAACTACGCCTATTCGACAGTAGCACCAACTCGATCATAACCCGTGCCGTTGATATTCCCCTCCGCTTCGCTTCCGGAAACATCACCCCCACGACTTTCTTTGTCACATCGCTGGATGGATCATGTTCCCTAGTCCTAGGACACAACTGGCTTACCTGCTACAATCCGTTGATTGACTGGGTCTCAAGCAGTATCACGTTCCGAACTCCCGAACCTACCAAGACAGTCACTCCGAGCTCTCCCCCGTCGTCTCCGGCAACACTGCCGTCGTCCGACATCCAACCATCTGATGTTTCGCCAGCACCTCAATCACAGGCTGCTACTCCTCCATTACCATCTATCGAGTTCGTCAGCCGTTCCGCATTCGCGAAGGCTTGCCGACTCGAAGGATCGGTATCCTTCAGCCTAACCATCCCTTCCGAGGAAAGCCGCTTGAGGGCTGCCTCTCCCCACACCGATTCCGTCGACCTCTCGGCCGTTCCGAAGGAGTATCACGAGTTCGCGGACGTGTTCAGTAAGAGCAAGGCCTCGACGCTGGCACCGCACCGTGAGCACGACCTAAAGATCGACCTTGAGGAAGGCACCTCCCCACCCTTGGGTACCATGTACTCTCTCTCTCCTTCGGAACTCGAGGCCCTCCGGGCGTTCTTAGATGAGCACCTGGCCTCCGGTTTCATTCGTCCCGCTACCTCCGCTCACGCGGCACCGGTCCTCTTCGTCCGCAAGAAGGACGGATCCCTCCGTCTTTGCGTCGACTTCCGAGGGCTGAACAAGATCACCAAAAAGGATCGCTACCCACTTCCCCGCATTTCCGACCTCCTTGACGCACCTAGCCGTGCCACGGTCTATACCAGACTCGACCTCCGGCATGCCTACCACCTGGTGCGCATCGCAGCAGGCGACGAATGGAAGACTTCCTTCCGCACGCGCTATGGCTCCTATGAGTGGCTTGTCATGCCATTCGGTCTCACGAATGCACCTGCGGCTTTCCAGCGATTCGTAAACACGATCTTTGCCGACCTCCTGGACGTTTCTGTGGTAGTCTACCTAGACGACATCCTTACCTACTCGGAAGACATGGCTTCGCATCAGGAGCATGTCCGAGAAGTTCTTAGGAGACTCCGCAAACACGGCCTATACGCCAATCCGAAGAAATGCGAGTTCCATACGGACACTACGGAATATCTCGGTTACTGCCTCTCTCCTTCCGGACTCACCATGTCCATTGAGAAAGTCAAAGCCGTCCAAGATTGGCCCGAGCCCCGTAAAGTCAAGGATGTCCAATCCTTCCTTGGCTTCGCTAACTTCTACCGGTGTTTCATTCACCAATACTCCGACATTGTGGTCCCCTTGACGCGCCTCACGCGTAAAGGAGCCCCCTGGCTATTCTCCGACGACTGTCGCGCCGCTTTCAACACCTTGAAAGAGGCCTTCACTTCCGCTCCTATCCTCACGCATTGGCTACCCGACGCCCCCCTCATTGTAGAAACCGACGCTTCCGATTACGCGATCTCCGGAATCCTCTCCATTCGCTGTGATGACGGAGAGATTCGCCCCGTCGCTTTCTGCTCAAGAACACTCTCGGCGCCGGAACTCAATTACGACACCCATGACAAAGAACTGCTCGCCATTCATGATGCGTTCCGATCATGGCGTCATTACCTCGAAGGTTCAGGAACCCCAATCGACGTCGTCACCGACCACAAGAACCTCGAGTATTTCTCCACCACCAAACTCTTGACCCGGCGGCAAGCCCGCTGGTCAGAGTTCCTCTCCCAATTCCACATGACAGTCCGATTCCGTCCCGGAAGACTCGGAGTTAAACCAGATGCGTTGACAAGACGCTGGGACGTCTATCCCAAAGAAGGGGATATGGACTACGCTCGCGTCAACCCACAGAACTTCCGACCGGTCTTCACTTCGGAGCAGCTCACTGCGTCCTTACGAGCCACGTTCCTAGCTGCCACAGTAATCCGAGCAGCCGTACTCGTCGACACAGAGGCTCTTCATCGAGACATCCTAACCTCCCTCTCCTCCGACACCTCAATCTCTTCTCATCTCGCTTCCCCCAACCTCCCCAACTCCCGCTGGTCCGTTGATGCCGAAGGCCTCTTAAGGCTGAACAATCGCATTTACGTGCCGGATTCTAACGATCTCCGTCTTCGCGTTTTGCGAGACAAACACGACCACCAACTTTCCGGACACTTCGGGCAAAACCGGACTCTGGATCTAGTGCGTCGTGAGTATACCTGGCCGGGTATCCGTAACTTCGTCAAGAGTTACGTATCCTCCTGCACTTCGTGTGCCCGCGCCAAGGTCCCCCGTCATAAGCCTTACGGCTTACTCAAACAACTCCCCATCCCCGAACGTCCTTGGAACTCCATCTCCATGGATTTCATTGAACAGCTACCCTCCTCTTCCGGATTCACTTCCATCTTGGTCGTTGTGGACCGCCTGTCCAAACAGTGCATTTTTATCCCTACCCATGATACCATCACCTCTCCGGAACTGGCCAAGCTTTTCCTCCTCCATGTGTTCTCCAAGCACGGAGTTCCATCCCACGTCACCTCCGACAGGGGTCCGGAGTTTGTCTCTCATTTCTTCCGTTCACTTGGTAAGGCCCTCGACATCCGCCTCCACTTCACCTCCGGTTATCACCCGGAAGGAGACGGTCAGACCGAACGGATGAACCAGACGCTTGAGCAGTACCTGCATATTTACAGTAACTACCAGCAGGACAATTGGTCCGAACTCCTGCCTCTCGCAGAGTTCGCATACAACAACGCTCCGAATGCCACCACGGGCGTCTCCCCGTTCTTCGCCAACAAAGGCTACCACCCGAACATCACTGTTCACCCGGAGCGAGACCTGACATCGGTACGCGCCCAAGAGTACTCCGTCGATCTCGACTCCCTCCACCACTTCCTTCGTGAGGAAATGCATCTCGCCCAGATCCGTTATCAGGGCCCAGCAGACTCTCGCCGGAGCCCTGCCCCAGCTTTTGAAGTAGGAACCTCGGTCTACGTGAAGGCCAAGTACTTCCGTTCCACTCGACCTTCCAAAAAGCTCTCCGAGAAAAACCTCGGCCCATTCGAGATCATCGCCCGCGTTGGAACCCACTCCCTCACTCTCCACCTGCCGGATAACATGCGAGCCATTCACCCGGTATTCCATGTCTCGCAGATCGAACCATCTGTCCCAAACACCATTCCAAATCGCCATCAGCCACCTCCGCCTCCCGTAGAAATCGAAGGCGAGATGGAGTTCGAGATCGAGGAGATACTCGACTCCAAGATCGACCGATGTAGACGCAACAAGTTGCTCTACTTGGTCAAGTGGCTAGGCTATGAAGGGACCGACGAGGAGACACAATGGCTCCTTGCCGGTGAACTCGATCATGCCTCCGACCTCGTCGAAGCGTTCCACTCTCGGTACCCAGCGAAGCCTGGACCCGAAGCTCCTTAGGAACCCCGACTCCTCTCCCATTTCTCCCTTCCCCTCTGCTCCTCACTTTCGTTTTCATTTTTATTTTCCTCATTGTTTCTCTTCCTGTAAGTGCAGCTCCCCTCGTCTTACTAATTCTGGGCCTTCAAGGGTTCAGGCCTAAGAAGGGGATACTGTCATATCCATTCCCGGCCATCGACTTCCGGACTCTCCGACCCCTCCGTTCTAACTCCGCTCCCCCCTCACCAACCTCGGAGCCCCCGTATTCCGCAAACCTCCCGGTGCCCCTCGATGACCACCACCCCTTCATTTCAATTTATTACCTACGCCTCCCTAAGTACGGAGCCCCGAAGACTTCCGGACAGCTCCGACGTCCGCTAGCGCACTCCCGCCTCCGCTGGGCAATACACTCGCCTGCCCTGCAGAGTCCACCTTCGGGCTTATCCCTCCTTTCCGTTTCTGGGTTAACGCCTGCCTTTCCGCTAACCCCGCGAACCGACTCGTCGGTAATATTCAGTCGGCTAATGTCTTAACCCCGTTAGCTCCGCTCCGTCCGGCTCCGCCAATTGCGGAACCGTCTCCGCTGTAACCATATATATACACTACTTGTACATAGGTTACGCCCCAGCAGATAAATCAACTAGAGTTACCCCCACTAGGTTCTAAGTGCCAGTCAGTAAGTTAGGGCACAGACGTGTCACTAGGCACAGCGCTCCTGGCAGAAGTCGCTGAGGCCAAAGCCCTCTGTTACGGAGACATTCCTTCGTCTTAAAATCTGGTCTCTGACACCTGAGGTCAAAGGCAGTCGTTTCCCAACCACCTCGCCCATTGACGGCCTGGATTGCAAGCAAATACCTTCACCTGCCCAGCCAAATTCTTTGGCAGTTACCGTGTGCTGTCCCATGGAGTTGATGCATTCGATTGAGCCATACAGCCCATCGATAGTCCACCTGTTGACCATGGCATCTCCCCAGTCGGATCCTCTGACTGATTCCTTGCGTCATCCTATAAAGCTGGCACGCCTGCATGCATCAGGTCACTCAGGGGCATGCAAACTACTTAGCACGATGTGCCCTGTGGACCGTCTGGTCGTCCTTTTCACATGCCCTCTCAAGCCGGAGTGTTCATGCCACCTGTGTCACTCGGTCGCGGCTGGTTGGTCGACCATGATGAATCACATCCCCTTGTCATGCCAAGCGGTCCAGCTAACCTCCTCGTCCACTCGTTCAGGCTCTCTGACCGGGTACTCCTTCCCCAAGCCAGCACGCCTGCAGTCATCACACCATCCAGCATCAACACGCCCAACAATCGTGACTGGTCCCACCAGCTCAATGCACCTTGTTATTGAGTTGGCACCCTCTCATGACTGGCTGAATCCTCCAGCCGTCCCCTCATGTCCGCCTCTGGAGCTAACACGTGTGCATGGGCTATGTTGTTCAGCGGCAGCCCATCTGTCAACCACAACATGCACCAGGAGGATACGACATGCGACTGAGTCAACATTCTTGCATACCCTCTCGGATTCCCCAGTTGTAGTCGAGTACCAAGTGTGTCCACTTGGCTCAGGTGTGATCTTCACTCTGTTGGCGACTCGTCCTGTCAGTTCAGCGCGGTGCATAATCAGAGCATCCTTGCACAATCTGCCAGATCCTCCAACTGGTCACCCTCCAGAGTCAGCATACTGCTACATCATTGGACCATCACCCTTGCTGGGTTTGTTGGACACCTCAACCGCTCTTCCGTGGTATTCTTTTGAGTTAGCGTGCTCACCTGCACAGAAGGAGCCAGGGCCTGAGTTGACGTGCATGGAACCGCTCCTGGCACAGCTGCCCAGGTCGCATCCTGGACCTCTCAAACGGAGACACACCCTACCACCGCATTTGGAATCGGTGGGCACAGCCCATGTACTGTGGCACCACCCACGTGAAATGTTGCACCCACCGGATGTGGTGCACCCCACATCACGACAGCCGTCCAACGCTGCTTGTCTGTCTACCTCTCAGTTATCTACATCGATCTGGGAGCGATTATACGCAAGGGGAGGAACTTCACATCCTCAAACTGAAACCAATCGCACATGGGACGAGTCATCCTATGGATTGCACCAGTCCATTTACACCCTCGTTGAACTGTTATGTGAAGCATCTCAAGTTTCCACTCAGGCCACCATCGCAACTGGTTACGTGACGGGACCGACCAAGCACGTCATTGGGAAGGAAACCTATGCCTTGCGGGTTGTCTCCAACTGCTCCAAGTTGGATGAACTACATTCGGTATGGAGCTATACAGACCCGAGACCCATATTGTCTGTGGGGCATCACGAACATAGTGGCGACGGTACTAGAACCTTCGGCATCCCTCCATCTATCGGCAAATCAGACACTGCCTTGGGTTGTTGGATGAGCCCGAGTACAGATGAGGTTTTCGTCGTCCTGACTCAGCCCAAAGGGTCGCATGGGTGTTTCCAGGCCAATTGTCTATTTACCTCAGCACCCTCAACTACTCTCATGCCTTTAGTCACATCGTCACATCAGCCAAATTTAGCCACCCCAGTGCACCATCCAAAAGGGTTTCATCACCTGACCGCCTCGAAGAATCCCTCTTCCAATCGAGTCCACCCTACTACTCCAGCATTATACCGTGAGAGAATCGGTCCCCATCAACTTGTCTCCAGATCAGTGTCATTCTCCCATGTCCTTGCACACTCACCCTCCGCTCAGTCATCCGCATTCCTGTCAAGATGGCCCGGTGGGGGTGAAAGGATACTGGGTCCTCGAGGCTCAGTAACTGGTCTCCCAGAACGTCAGGACCACTGCCAGAGGATCGTCCCAAAAAGGATTTGCACCGGACCAGTCTTAGGCAAGGTCCTGTCATCGTGCTCGCTCAATACAAAAGATGAGAACATCTGTCGTTCCATCAAATGGACCCGAAACCGAACCCTTCAAATCTTCCACCCCTACCAGAGTTGGCACACATAGAAAGGCTCGTTTGTGTGCCCTTATGGATAGGACATTGAAAGGTTTGCTTACTATTTTGGGGATGGTACGTTCCGTTCCCCCATTCGCCTCAGGCCTCAGGTAGTCCATCTAAATACAAGCTTTAATGTGCTGTATATTTAACGGGGTAGAGGTAAAAGGCTACCAGGCCTTTACAACTACTCCGAGGTATATATATGTAATTTACATATCTCGGCACAAATAAATAAATAAAGAACAGCATCACTATAATGGGAATTATAGTGAAGTAAGGTTAATCCCTTACAGACATCGACAGGGGAAGGCTTGCGCACCATTACAATATGGAGACTCGAATCCGTATGCCATCATTGCATTCACCACCCAAAGGCAAGTGTGGTCAAAGGCACCCATGGAAGCCAGTGAGGCTGCTCGTTTCGACAGGACCCTCCATGTCCTCTGAATCGTTCATCTGAAGGAGATTGTCCGTTCTTGCCCATACGGTCTGCCACTTCTCAGTACCAGATGGTTGCGTCCCCCACCGCTGCTCGGTTGCCTGGTCAAGATGCAGTGCCATGGACAGGTGGCATGTTCAAACAAGCTCAATTCCATACCCGGAACGGGTTCCAGGGTTCCCGATATGGTTTTCAGTGCGCGGGCACATATATGTAACTAGTGTCAGAGACCAGGTTGAGATGAGGGAAAGTCTCCATGGCGGAGGGCTTTGCCTCAGTGACTTATGCCAAGAGCGCTGTGCCAAGTAACATGTCTGTGCCCTAACTTACTAACTGGCAACCAGAACCGAAAGGGGGTAACTCTAGTCGATTTTTATTATTGAAGTGTAACCTATGTACAAGTTGGATATATATATGGTTACAGTGAAGACAGGTCTGCAAATGGCGGAGTGGAGCTAACGGGGTTAAACATTAGCCAACTGAATATTACCGACAAGTCGGGTTACGGGGTTAATGGAAAGGCAGGCGATAACCCAGAAACGGAAAGGAGGGATAGGCCCGAAGGTGGACTCTGCAGGGCAGGCGAGTGTATTGCTTAGCAGAGGCAGGAGTGCGCTAGCAGACGTCGGAGCTGTCCGGAACTCTTCAGGGCTCCGTACTTAGGGAGGTGTAGGTAATAAATTGAAAGGAGGGGGTGGTCACCATCGAGGGGTACCGAGGGGATTGCGGAATACGGGAGCTCCGAGGTTAGTGAAGCAGGAGCGGAGGTAGACCGGAGGGATCAGAGGTACCGGAAGTCGTTGGCCAGGGATGGATATGACAACCAGCTGTGCTGTGTCCTTACCCACGTGCCGATGGCTCTATGGCCGACACCAGCTCCCAGGCAAGCAGGAGTAAGTATAGGGTGGAGGTGACCATATCTACTCAAGAACCTAACCCCCGAAGAGGGTGACCACCGCAATTGAATAGGTCTAGCAGGTCTTGGAGCGACAAACAGCACTACGATAGCAGCTCAAGGCACAGAAGCAGAACAATCCCAGTCTAAGCAAGGGATGGCTTCCATCTGGATGAAGCCCTCGAGGTCCACTCAAGTGCCATTTGCCCAACTTGCAGGTCACATACCTCACGATGCCGGGGTTGCACTTGGCAGCTATCTAGCCAGCTTTACACTGTTTCCACATCTTATTGGGATACTTCCGATGCGTTGTTAAGGCTGCCAGACTACCTCAACCTGGGACAGTGTAGTTCAGCTTGACTCCGTCACTAACATCTGGCCCGTCTCCTAACATACCTACACTTTGGTATTCCCTGAGTGCATACACCCATTCTGTTCATTGCCATGTTGGTCACTCCATTGGCCAGACCTTTGGGATATAATGTAGAAGCTGCTAGACCGACCCACTGGCTCAGCCACTGTTTGACCCAGCGGACTCACCCATCCTGCTATATACTACCATGTCAATCCCAACATGCCCGGATTTGTCCACCTCACAATCGGGCCAATCTTGCTAGAGGTCCACACCCACACTACATTCAAGTTCCCTTCCTGGGATGAGACCTACCGGTTCATAGACTCAGGCCTCTATGTTCATCTAAAAGGCCCCAGTTGTCTGTCAGGGTTCTTGAGATTGGAGTCTACTCCATGATCTAGAGCTCAGAGTGCCAGCTTGTTATTACCACCCTGCCCTTTGGACTTGCATAATGGCCCATAAGAGTCTGGGGGGCGATGTTATAGGAATGGACCAGAATCTTATGGTCCATGGTTACAAGCAAGTAGAACCAGGTATGCCTCCTTATTGTTTTCCCCTATTTCTCTACCCAAACCCCATGCCAAGCTTTCCCACTGGGTTTTGGTGCTGGCTGGGGGAATTGCTGAATTTCAAGGGACTTCCCTTGACCATTACAACTTTTATATTAGATATAAACTAGTCATGTGACATGTAAAGGCAAATGCCGAAAGAGGTTTTCCTTATCAAATACATAACCCACAAAACCTTGTACCGCAATTGTAACTGCCTCACCATTGTGCCACCACTGTAAGCCTTCTCTGTAACATCTGACTTGGTCCATATTGATGTCTACATCGATATTCTTACAATCTGTGAGAAAACCTCAACAGCCTGGTGAGTGCTCAGACACCGGACCTTGCCCTTCCTGCTCCCACCCCCCCACTGGGTGGTCGAGCTCCCATTCCTACCTACCCTTCCTGTAGTACCCTACTGGGTCCTACAACCCTTCCTCCCTTCTTGGGAGGGAGAAGTGACTCAGGCAGCCCCAGGATGCCTGGCCACGTACCCGCGGGCTCAAATTCCCACAGTCACTCACTACTGTGCACTGGTCAACCAACTTGCCTGTCCCAACATATCCCACTACTGGTACACTCCCCTGAGTGCCAAGTAACCGATAGTCGACCACTGGGCTACTCCCTCAAGGAGTGCCAACTACCCATGCTACCGGTATGCTCACATGAGCGCCAAGTCACCGCTAGCTGACTGATAGGTGGCTCCCTCAAGGAGCCCCCACTATACCCGCTGCCGGTACGCTCCTTGGAGTGCCAAGTCACTGTTAGCAGACCACCACACCCACTGCCGGTACGCTCCTCGGAGTGCCAAGTTACCGTTAGCCCACCTGGCCTTGGATCTCCTGCTCTCCCTTCAACGGCCATGCAGCCACCTCTGTCTGTGAGCAGAACGGTTCAGGCTGGGTTCCCCAGAACCCATTCCTGTAACATTGCCAGTTAGTAAGTTAGGGCACAGACGTGTTACTTGGCACAGCACTCCTGGCATAAGTCGCTGAGGCCGAAGCCCTCCACCACGGAGACATTCCTTCATCTTGACCTGGTCTCTGACAGTATTTTATTACTCCCTGACTAGTACATGTCTTGTATGGCACCAAAAGCCCCTCGCACTCATTTGCAACTATGCACATTAGTTCCCAACTCTGCCTCACCGTCCCCAGAACCCTCACAGCCTGGTCCTAGTCGATTGGCAAGAAACCCAGTTGAGTTTCATAGCTTTTCTAATCTAGAAACCCCTCTCCCATCGACTCTGATCATGTGTCCCATTAGGAATCGATCACCAGTTGCAGATTCCGACTTCAGAGACACCACGGAACAACCCATAGACCCCGTTCACTTCTTTGGACTCGGTTCTGAGGTCCCCGACTTCGTTGACCCTCCTCCTGCTGATCCTCCCATCCCCACTGTCCCAACCGCCGACAATGCCGAACCCACCCCCAACATGGCTATTGAACAACTAGCCCAAGCCATTGCCAGCTTGGCTCGTCACACCAGACGTCCACCACGTCCACCATCCTCCACTCTCCGGACCAAGGTCCGTGAGCCCAAACAGTTCGATGGAAAAGATCCCTGAGAACTCCGAGTATTTCTGGTCCAATGTGAACTGAATTTCCAGGACCGTCCCCTTGCTTTTTCAAGTGACCACGCCAAGGTCATCTTCATGCAGTCCTACCTCAAGGGAATGGCCCTCGATTGGTTTGAGCCGGATCTATTATTCGATCAAAATTCTATGCTTTGTCCACAATGGATGAATAACTATCAAGAGTTTGTCAACGAACTTCAAACCAACTTCGGTCCTCACAACCCTGTGGGCGATGCCAAAGTTCAACTAATGACCCTGGACATGAAGGATGGGCACCACATCAATAAGTACGTCATCGAGTTCAACCGACATGCCTCTCAACTTCATGGTTACGGAGAAGCTGCGCTTCGTCGTTTTTTCTATAATGGATTGCCAGAACGTATCAAGGACGATATTGCCAGAGTAGGTAAACCTTCTACTCTTTCAGAACTTCGCACCTTGTCACAAACTTTCGATACGCGCTATTGGGAGCGTAAATCTGAAGTTACACATCATGCGAAACCCTCCTCCTCTAACATTTTCGACAAGTCCACTGCCACTTCTCATTCCGACCCCATCCTTCCTCCTCTTTCAACTCTGCTTCCGGTAGCAAGCCTCCGAAGGACAATAAGAAGTCCGAGGCCAGCTCCACTAAACCAGACCTTTCGTCAAAACTTGGAGACAATGGCAAGCTCATGCCACAAGAGCGTAAGCATCATCTCAATGAGAAACTTTGTATCTTCTGCGGTCAGTCTGGCCACATGGTCAAGGACTGTCCCAAGTCTTCTTCTCGTGCATCTAAGGCCCGTGTGGCTCAGACCGAGGAGCAAGGATCCGCTTCCACAAAAGCAAAAAATTAGTCCACACCCCCATGGACTCCGCACAGACCGGGAGTTGCAATTCTTCCCTCCGTGCGCTCAAAGAAGTGCGTTTAAACGTGTCTTCCATCTCCAACTTATCCTCCCCATTTCTTTTTCTCTTTCAAATGGTCTATTTTCTCCTCTCAATGTTGACCCTCCGGTTAATGTTCTACCCATTGTAGATAGTGTTGCTGATGTACCACTCTCTCCTCTGCCCCCTCCGACTACTTCCATAGATCGATCCACCTCCTTCCGTTTCTCTTCTTTCTCTTCTCCTGTCTCTTCTCCTCCGTCCAATGATAGGACACAAAATAAACTTTTCCGCTCCTATGAGAACATACCCACACTCATAGACTCTGGGTCTTCGGACTGCTTCATCAATGACACATTTGTAAAGAAGTTGGCCTTGAAGACATATCAGATTAAACCCCTACAACTATGCCTATTCGACAGTAGCACCAACTCAATCATAACCCATGCCGTTGATATTCCCCTCCACTTCGCTTCCGGAAACATCACCCCCACGACTTTCTTTGTCACATCGCTGGATGGATCATGTTCCCTAGTCCTAGGACACAACTGGCTTACCTGCTACAATCCATTGATTGACTGGGTCTCAAGCAGTATTATGTTCCAAACTTCCAAACCTACCAAGTTGAATATGGATGATAACCTCCACATCAGGATGGAGTAACCTCCTGCATAACGGCGAGTATGTATGGATGCACGCTAGAGTCTGTTCGATACCAGCTTTCCATTTTATTCATTTGTCATCACCTGTTTACTCAGTTGAATTCATGACATAATCTATAGCGCTAGCAGTGTGAATTCTTCACCAAGACAGTTACTCCAAGCTCTCCCCCATCATCTCCGGCACCACTGCCATCATCCGACATCCAACCATCTGATGTTCCGCCAGCACCTCAGTCACAGGCTCCCATTCCTCCGTTACCATCTATCGAGTTTGTCAGTCGTTCCGCATTCGCAAAGGCTTGTCGACTTGAAGGATTGGTATCCTTCAGCCTAACCATCCCTTCCAAGGACAGCCGCTTGAGGGCTGCCTCATCCCACACCGATTCCGTTGACCTCTCAGCCATTCTGAAGGAGTATCACGAGTTCGCAGATGTGTTCAGTAAGAGCAAAGCCTCAACACTGGCACCACACCATGAGCACGACCTGAAGATCGACCTTGAGGAAGGCACTTCACCACCCTTGGGTACTATGTACTCTCTCTCTACTTCAGAACTCGAGGCCCTCCGGGCATTGTAAGCAGGCTTGGGATCTAACCCACTAGGAAAACAGGAAAGGACGGGGACTGGATTGGTATCCAACAGGTCAGGGAAAAGGGGGTAATGGTAATGGTGATATGGTATGGTCCGGTGTGGTACGGTGCGTGGTGTACTCCAGTCAGTCTCTCACCCCACCTCTCTGGGCGACACTAAGGTGAGGACTGATCTAGAGGTCTTCTTAGTCATCTTCTATATCGTACTACTCCCTACTAGCTTGGGAGGGGCAAACTTGGTGGTTTCTAATCCAAGGGGAAAAGTAGCTACATCCTCATGTACAGGTATATATGAGAAATAATCAAATAAAAATGATAAAAAAATATCCGATGTGCCCCATGTGCTTAGGTGGATCATATCGGCAACAAACAATATCGAAAAAAAAGAAGGGAAAACAATAATCAAGAAAACAATAAAGCAATAAATGATTTCCAGCCAAAAAATACCCAACTCCATCCATCGCCAATGAACTCCCGCTAATTATGGATCCTAATACTCCTAAATGACGCGTTTCCAACGGTACCAATATCGTCCAAATCGGTCCAGTGGTTGCTGAGATAGGTGAAATCCAGTGTGAGTGTGGCCGCACTGCTGGGTGGGCGTGGGAATTTGGTCTGTGGGGACTGGGAATGTGTCTGGAAAAACAGGAGAAAATCATGGAAGGATAGAAATGGTATATGAGGACGTGTGTGCTGTGTTTCGTGAAGTGGGGATGTGCTGGGATGGGGAAATCGCGATATTCGGTTCGTTTGTGCAGTACCGGCTGTGCCCGCCTACATCAGGCCTAGCTCTTTATCGTGGTCCCTTACGATATCCTCAAATCTAAACATGTCCATCGTATGCGATCCATAGGCCCTGGGGACTCCAACCAAAATAAATAAATGTTGTGTGCATAAATACGCTTATGACATATCCTCATTGTGCACGGAGGTATTGTCAACGGGTATATTCAGTCCTGGACTTGGACTTCACTTTGCTACTGCCATGCATCGCGTTGTATGAAATCACTCCAACTAAGTCAGGAGGCTTTGGCTTTCATCTGCGCATGGAACTGCACTGGGAATCTCAACTGCATCAAGAATGCTAGCGGACTCAATACTTTGCGCTTCAGCAAGTTTGTCAACACTAGAACTTTGGTTGAGCAACGAGGGCTTGCTTTCCCATTGTAGTGGTCATCGTCTATGTCACTTGGAATCACTGGGGCAACATGTGTCCTCATATCCTTGGTGGCTTGGATGCTGCTCACTGCAAGGAAGCAATCGCTTGTAGCGATTCTGACATCGCGATACTTTTCTCTGGGGACAGATCGACAACAATCGTGTCATATATGTGACTAGGCACTACTTGGGGCCTCTCTTTGGCTAACAGCTCTGCATTACGCATATGAAGCGGTGTGGAGGTATGCATAGCCCAGTTCGCGAAAGTTGAGTCTGGGACATCGGACGCTGCCTCCAAATTCTGGGGCACTAAACTCGGTTGCTGGCATGCAACGACTCTTGGAAACGTCTAGCTCAAAGCCTTGGTGGATTCATCATCAAGAGGAGTGCTGGGGCCGGAGGCCTTAGCTCTTTTAGCGATGCACTCTCGCGTCATCTCCTCAACTCTCTCTTTGCCGGAACTTGGCCAAAACTGTCTGGAATCTCTTCTGGTACTGAGATCGACGTCGTATGAGACCAATCGAGCTCGTCGCTGAGGCTGGGAGGCCTTAGCTCTTTTGACTTAAGCTCAGCGCGCTCTGGCGCTACTGTTCTGACTCGCGCTTTGTCTAGCTTGCCACCAAACTTGCTTGTCATGTCTGGCACAGGCTCTCTGACGACTACAGTGTGTTCTTGAATGATGAGAGAGTGCTCTGACGTCTCTGGTTTGCAAATGTCAACCTGGATCTCGGTGACTAATATGCAATTGGCTACTTGAGTCAACTCAGACTCGCATGCTCGGGCCAGCTCGTTGCCCGCATTCTGGTTCGTGCTTAAGACCTTGTCTGGGTCTTTCTCAGGTGGACATTTGTATCCATCATCAAAGAAATCGGGTGGGCATAGAGTGCCAGCGCACTCAAGCGCTTTCGCGGAATCGGCACAAAGTTTAACAGTGGGATTTTTCGTCATCATGTAACCTCGATGTATGATAGCGTAGTGATGAATCAAATCATTGACTTGTTTTTCGTGTGGCACAATGGCAGGAACGGCTTCGTGTGAGATAGTGAGTCCGGCATATTCGGGTGCTTCACTGTCAACTGCAGTGTCGTCGGATTCATATCCGGAATCCCAAGTGAAATCTTCCACTGGCTCAGCGATTCGTGAGACTTCACTAAGATGCACAGTATCGTCTTTAGTCGCATTCTCGTGTGCAACTTGCAGTATGGCTGTGGTGTGCTCAACACCATCATTCTCTTCGCGCTCGGTCTCTGCGCTTGAAACTATCATTTCGTTCTTAACTAGTCTGGCATTTATGCGTGAACTAGAAGAGTCTGGGGCTCTAAGGCTCTCGTCTGACTTGACTCTACACTCATGGCACATCTGTGCTACACAACATGGACTCAATCCGAGCGTTGCGCTAGCTGGATTTCTTGGGTGCTCAAAATCGACGGCTGCAGCAGCTGGGTCGATTATTTGGACTACCGCTTCACTTTTCTGGACTGGACTGGGATGCGTGTCATCGCGTTTTCTCCCTGTGGTGCAATCCTGGGGCTCAATCTCAAAGTCCCCTCTGAACTCGAAGTTGCGCAGAACTCTGGCTGGCAATAAACTGGTCTGGTATGTCGCATGGAATGAAGCGCTGGGAATCTCCCTGCACTTCTGGAATGGCTCTGGTCGCATTGAGCTCGATTCCAGGATCAAATGGGTAGAATTTCGCCATCTTCACTAACTGGGCGCTTATTCTGCGATATGCGGGGCTCTGGCCATGATCAGGCACTGAGGCGCTGCTCTCTTTTGGTTCATACGATGGACGATAGCAATATTCTGGCATCAAATGTCCATTCGCATCGTGCATAACTGCAAATTCCAACTCAAACTCTGAGATTGGATAGTATGTGGTCGCATTCTTGAATGTGAGCAACACTCCAGGCTCAATCCCTATCACAAGAGTGTCTGCATCGTCAGATCGAGGCTCTCTGGCCACCGCAGTATCACTAGGGGTCACTGCGGATCGTTGCCACCCCAGTTCCTGAGTGAAATCTAAGACCGGGTGCGGTCAAAGTCTCGCGGGCTCAAAGTCATCGCGCTTGAGTCAATCGGCTCCTTCTTGTCAATAAAAGTCGTCGCCTCCATCGTATGAGGTATTCTAGCTTCGTCTGAGCACGTATGGGTAGTCTCGGCCCAATCTGAGGCCTGAGGAGCTAAGTTATCTTCGCAAATTTGCGGATCTGAGATGCGTTCAAGGCCGATAGGCCTAAGCTCTTTTGGTTCTAGCTCTGGTACTTCAACAGGGCTCTCTAGTTGGTCATAAGTGCTAGATTCTAGGCTCTCAGCGCTAGAGATGGATGCGGCAATCGGCGCACGATCGGCTTCAGACTGAATGTGAGCGCGACTCAATTCAGTTTGCAGCGCTTCGCTTCTGACTTCGACTTCAACTTTAACTTTGACTTCTGGTGTGCACTCCACTAGGGGAACTTCTGGGAAGTTGGCATGGACTTCTGAATGTCCGCTCAACTTGGACTCGGAGACATCACAAGTGGGATCCGAAAGATATGCAACATGCGTCGATGCGCTCTGGTCATCCGCCCACTCTTGGAGCGCTGGATTATGCCTACGTGGTGGCAAAGCTTCCTCATGGATAGCTGAGCCCTCTAGGCCATGGGCTTCGCATTGTTTGACTGCCGACTCTCTGATCGGGGCATCTTGGACATTGGAACTCATGTCTGCGCCAAACTCAGGCATAATGTCGCTCTGATCTGCAGGTTGTGCTGGGAACTCTGGGAACACAGTATGCGTGGAACTCTGTTGTTCTTCCATCTGATGCAAACTCGTGCTATCATGACTATTAGCCAAGTTATCAACTGGCTCGGACTTCATGTCGAAGTCAACATCGTATGAATCGTCTCGGAGCAGTTCTCGTGCAACTGCGACAACATTGTTCATATGGGGAGGCTGGGTCGAATCAGACCACAGGCCTTGAACCTTGAGGTCATACCTGAGTTCGCGTCTGAACTTGGACGGGAATCCTTGGTAAAATAGGTCATCACGCTCTGAGGCGGTAAGGGCGTTCTTCGCTTCCAAACTCGCAGCGATAACACGGAACTTTCGCTGGTAACGCGCAAGGTGCTCTAAGCATCTCATCTTGCGGTCTTTCTCCACCAACTTGTGGAGGTCTTTCTTGCGATAAACTGGCTCTTCGTCGTCGGTGCTGTAGAAGCTCAGCAAATCCGACTTGAGCGACGACCAACTCTGGGTCTCAAGTCCAGAGAATGTCTGAACAAGCTCGGCTTCCCTCTCGGTGCAATAGGCTATCAGGTAGCTGCACTTCTCTGGGTCTGTGAGGAGTGCGGCATGCGCCAACATCTCAAACTCGTGAAGGAACTTCATGATCTGCCTGCCCTTAAACCGTGGAGCTTCGCGGCTGCGGGGTCTAGGCATTGGCATAGGTTCAACATAGAACATGGGCACTGCAGCTGCCAGGGCTGAGGCCATCACTGGAGGCGAACTAAGCGCCATGGGAACAACAGCAGGTTCAATGTAAGGTCACTCTGGACCTGCTCTTGGGGGAACTTGAAGGTACAAATGCGATCTCCGATGCCAATTGCGGTGTGGCAGGAGGGAGAAATCGCGCTAACGTGGTGGGTAAACTTGGTAACTTGGTAACTGAACTTGTAATGCGTGTGGATCCGTTGATCCGTGAACTTGTACTATACTGTTTCTTGATGTGTTTCTGTAACGAACAATGTAGATACTCGATATCCACAGTAGAATGATAAGTGTTTCAAAGGGAAAGAAAGTGTGAACTTGCGTGAAAGTTAGTGACCCGTGGAAGAGGAATATCCTGTCCCTGTAAGGACCACCAGAAATGTAAGGGGGCAAGGGATCTACCACCCTAACGAGAAAGAGAGGGGGCCAAGTGTTTGGAATGCTCAGGGGAGGTTCGGATGATGAGAGGGGGGGGGGAGAAATGGTCCGGGTGCGATGTGATAAAAAAATGATAAAACTCGTAAATCTCACTGATAATCAAACTAATGGGAACTCTGTCCCTGCACTGTGTCATAAGCCTCTTTGGCTTCGTATTCGCCGCTCTGGGCGCTGGTAACGTCTGCTAGAACTTCATGTTCTTGTTGGGGAGCACCTCTCTCTGTTGGGGGAGTCCTTTTTGTAAATACAGGAAAGAGGGTAACTATAAATATGAAAGAAATACGTGGACATCCGAATGATCCGATGGGTTTAGGACGGAAACAGATCCACAAGGAGCACTTAAGAAAAAAGCAATATCAAAGCAATATTGATGTTGTTAAGGAAATAAAGAACCATGGCGATCGGAACAACCGCTGAACCAAATGCGTCACTCGTGACATCGTTCGACTCGTGTTAACAAGGGCTTTCCAACGATACCAAATTCGTCCGGATCGGTGGAGAATTGATGGAGATACAGAGGAAGCGGCGGAATATGCGGGTGACAGTTGCCCAATTTGGAAACTGATGGTTGTCCGTGGTCAGGAATGGCTTGAAAAAAAATCGGAAAAAATATGGGAAACATGGAAAGGGTATTTGGAACAATGGTAGATGTGTTTTGGGAGTGGGGTGCTTGACGTGGGTGGTGGAATCTGTAGGCGGGCACAGCCAGTACCATGCAAACAAGCCGATTATCGCGATTCCACCACCCACGTCAAGCACCCCACTCCCGAAACACATCTACCATTGTTCCAAATACCCTTTTCATGTTTCCCATATTTTTTCCGATTTTTTTTCAAGCCATTCCTGACCACGGACAACCATCAGTTTCCAAATTGGGCAACTGTCACCCGCATATTCCGCCGCTTCCTCTGTATCTCCATCAATTCTCCACCGATCCGGACGAATTTGGTATCGTTGGAAAGCCCTTGTTAACACGAGTCGAACGATGTCACGAGTGACGCATTTGGTTCAGCGGTTGTTCCGATCGCCATGGTTCTTTATTTCCTTAACAACATCAATATTGCTTTGATATTGCTTTTTTCTTAAGTGCTCCTTGTGGATCTGTTTCCGTCCTAAACCCATCGGATCATTCGGATGTCCACGTATTTCTTTCATATTTATAGTTACCCTCTTTCCTGTATTTACAAAAAGGACTCCCCCAACAGAGAGAGGTGCTCCCCAACAAGAACATGAAGTTCTAGCAGACGTTACCAGCGCCCAGAGCGGCGAATACGAAGCCAAAGAGGCTTATGACACAGTGCAGGGACAGAGTTCCCATTAGTTTGATTATCAGTGAGATTTACGAGTTTTATCATTTTTTTATCACATCGCACCCGGACCATTTCTCCTCCCCCTTCCTCATCATCCGAACCTCCCCTGAGCACTCCCAACTCTGTGGCCCCCTCTTTTTTTCCCATTAGGGTGGTAGATCCCTTGCCCCCTTACAGCATTCTTAGATGAACACCTAGCCTCCGGGTTCATTCATCCCACTACTTCCGCTCATGTGGCACTGGTCCTCTTCGTCTGCAAGAAAGACAGATCCCTCCATCTTTGCGTTGATTTCTGAGGGCTGAACAAGATCACCAAAAAGGATCGCTACCCACTCCCCTGCATCTCCAACCTCCTTGACGCACCTAGCCATGCCACAGTCTATACCAGACTCGACCTCCAGCATGCTTACCACCTGGTTCGCATTGCAGCAGGCAACGAATGGAAGACTTCCTTCTGCACATGCTATGGTTCCTATGAGTGGCTTGTCATGCCATTCAGTCTCACGAATGCACCCGTGGCCTTCCAGCAATTCATCAACACGATCTTTGCCAACCTCTTGGACATTTCTGTTAGAGATGAGGCACGGATTCAGACGACTCCGGAGTGGAATCGGAGACTTAGCGTGGAAGGACCTTGGCCTCAGCGACTCAAGCAGAGCGCTGTGCCATTGCTGTTTGTCCATTTGGTCCTTAATTTCACAGTAGGTGAGCAGGAAGTCTCTAGGGGGCATTCAGGTCGATTTCGGACTGAGCCCAAAACGAGTATGTACAAGCACCGATATATATAATGGAGGGGGCAAAAGCACAAGGGAACAAAGTGTCAGGGACTGCGCATCAGTTTGCGACGATAAGGGCGTTCCCAAGAATCCTAGTCGTTGTTAACGCTGAAGTGCCACCTTCAGCAGAGATAGGGCTTATATACATGGATACCGCTATCCACTAGAGTGCGGCTACAAACGAGATAAGAACAGCCGATAGAATGACGACATGAAAAGATAGATATTCATTCGGGTAATTGTAAGCAAGGTGTGGGAAAGGGGTGACATGTGGACAAAAGATAGAAGTGGGAGCTAAGCGAGATTACCTGTGTTCTTCGGATCACTCCGGATCGTCTTATGGCAACTCCCTTCCGGCATAGGGAGTCAGGGTGGCCGGTTAGGCCGTGCCCTGACACAAAGGGGAACAAAGGGTAGACAGAAGCAGAGCGGTACCGAAGGTCATAAGTGTCAGGGCACGCCCACCTGACCCCGCGCCGCACCCAGCGCCGTACCGCACTACCCTGCTATCACTCCCCATCTCTCCTCCCCCACTTTCCCCTTTCTCTCTATCTCTATCTCTATCTCTATTCTACGGTCGATTTCTGTCAGGGACAGCTCCGAAAGCGGCGAGGTCCCGGGGTGCGGGACTTGGGGGGATGGATAGCGGCTATGTGTAGTGGCGATCCCGTCGCGGGGTGAGTGTCCCCGACCACTTAGTCTGAAGTGGAAATGTGAGAAGAAGGCTACTTCTTCGGTTCCCACTCCAGGTGTTATTATATACATGCGGGAATGGTCACGTGGGGTGCGCCACGTCACCCTTGCACACAGCCACGGCTCTCCGGGTGCTTCCGCGGAAGATCCCAAGAGGGCCCGCTGTGGGTGCAAGGCAAGTGCAGCAGCGGTGGCGGCGGTATAGGGATGTAAGATACAGGAGGGGAGATGGGCATGTGCGCCGGTGATACATTGAGCAGGGGGAAAGGTGGTCCATGTAAGAGAAAGAGAGAAAGAAAGAAAGGAGGAAAGGAGAACAGGAGAAAGGAAGAGGGAAAGGAGGGAGAGGCGGTGCGGGGTGGGGAAGCGGAGCGGGGATCAGGCAGGGCATGTCGGGGCATGCCCTGACAATTTCCCTTTCTCTATGTACCACTACATACCTAACCCCACCCCCCTGATCGCCGCACGTGCCACACACACTTCAGCCTACTGAGCGGCCACCTCTGGGATCTTCCACAGAGACACCCAGAGAGGTGCGGCTGTGTGCGGAGATGACGTGGCTTCCTCCACGTGACCCTAGCCGCATGTATATAATAGTGCCTGGGGTGGGAACAGAAGAAGCAGCCTTCTTCTCAACTTCCCACTTCAGGTAAGTACCGTAGCTTTCCCCCTTAATGATAATTCTCAACTTCCCACTTCAGACTAAGTGGTCAGGGACGCTCACCCTGCGACGGGATCGCTGCTACGCACAGCCGCTACTCGTCCCACCGAGTCCCGTGCACAGGGACCTCGCCGCTTTCAGAGCTGTCCCTGACAGCAGAAGAAGGCTTCAACCTCCCCCCACCATGGTGACCAAAGAGCAGTACGATGAACAGCTGTCCCGATTCCATGAGCTCCAGGCCATCATAGAAAGCCAAGCTCAGAACCAACCCCCAGCCGTGCCCACACCGGCGCCGGTTCCCGCACCAACACCTGCACCCACCCCCAGACCCAAACCGCCTAAAGTCGCCCCCCCACTGCCTTCTCTGGAGCAGCCAAAGACCTTGACCGCTTCAAGGCCGAATGCGGGATATATTTCC